GGTGGTAGCCGATCGCTTTCAAGCCTGGACGCAGGAGGATCCGGCCGGCCAGGCCTTCTGGAAGCAAGAGATGGAGGTCTTTTACGACCTCGGCCAGCGGCGCATGCAATTTTTGGTCCACAAAAGACTTCGCCGGCGCGTCAAGAATTTGAAGCCGAAGGGTGTTGGCCTCCCCCGGTTGATGAAGGATCCTGAGGAAGAACTGAAATTGCCTTTGTCCGAGAGACAGCGCCCTATCTTGAGTTTTGACAAGGAGGATGAGCCTTTAACTGAGAGCGACGAATACCTCTTTCAGGGTTCGGTCAATTCCAAAGCTGCCGAGGATGTTAACGACGATGCGGATAGTGGGGCTGTTGAGGGTCGCCAAGGTCAAGCTGGAGATGTAGCTTAGTATCTTTATGCTCTTTTCTCACCTTTTTTGTTTTAACATTAACGGCCGTAGTGCCCTGTAGTTGTGTACTTTAAATCAGAAATTAATGATAAACCCCTTTTGTCTGAGTATGAATGTGTTGTTGCTTTGTCTCTATCGCCTTGCATTCGTATGTGTCTTTAATTTTTGCAATTTTTGCTAAGTGTCAGAGTTGAATACACCCCGGCTTGATTGAGACGAAGCGTTCCTTCGATCATGTATTTGTGGAGATTGTTTTCCTTAGAATTTTTCTAAGTGTCGGCACCAAAACGTGCTTTGCTTGTTTAAGACGACGCGATCCTTTATCTGAGTGTTTTATGAGGGCGGTGTTGGGTGTCGCAACGTCTTGGGTATGTTGTGCTTAGTTGTAGGGACGATGTGTCCCTTCGTCTGGATTATAGGAGAGATTTGAGCTAATAGAAATGGAGAAGATGAATAGTAGAGAGTGTATTGTGTAAATTATGTTCTAGGGTTACAAGAGGCTCCAAGAGGAGTATAAATAGGGAAATCCGGGTCTGGGCCTCTAATATGGGCCCGACGGACCTGATTACATAAATGGACTGATAATATAAAAAGTTAATCTAGTGAATACAAATACAAATTGGACTGTGCAATAATACAATAATATATGTAAGGCGTGTGTGGGCCGCTGTCCAGACCCAATAGTCGTGAGATCCGGGGGTCCAAGTCTATATACTCTATCAATATGTTTTATAACATGAGTTATGCAACCGAGTGTCTATATTGTATCTAAATTTTGAATGAAATGGTACATCAAATCGTGTATTACTTGTTGTGTTAGCCAATATAGTCTACCACATTATCAATACATAGTTTATAACATTCGATTATAAACTGTGAACACGAGTAAAATGGGGTGTCTATTGAGTGTCAATTCCTTATAATATTACATCATAGTAATACATTTTGAAATCGAATGTTATGAATACAAGTCTTCAGATGTAATTCCTAATACTGAAATCGGATGATATTGTAATATGGTCATCCAGTATACTTTTATAAGTATAGGTTATCTGAACTTATATATCATAATAATACAAGGATCATCGTGATAAAGACATTAATATGTGGAAATAACTTTACAATGTACTCCCTCCGTCCCATTTATATTGTCCCGTTTTACCTTTTCGGAAAGTCCTACTTAAATTGTGATCTCATACCATATTTGACAAAGTTTGTGTGACTCTAAATCATTCTTACTTTATTCTTATTTTATCAATTAATATGAACCACACAAACTCACTTTTCTTAATAACCGTGTCACTGTTTTAGCAAGAATTAACTATACTAAACCAAATATTACGAACTGGGATCGTGCAAGTATATAATATGAATTACTTGAATAAATTGTTATAAAGTAGAAATGATATGAATGCTTCGAATGTTTACAGTGAAAAAGAATAGCCTGGGCTTCTCAGTTAATCTCGAGAGTAACCAAAGCTAAGTGGTCTCTCTATGCTAATCTTCAGATATTTAAATTAGCCTCCCACGATGTATGCTCCAACTGCCCGACGAAATAGGTGCTTGACTCATTCATCTGGAACCGTCTTTCTTTCCTTCCTCCTCAAGCCTTGCTCCATTCCTATCCGATCCACTTCAACATATCCTAACTGGGCTGGATCATAAATCTAATTAATTAGCCACGGGCCTTGCTACTGGGCGGATATTCTTCGGCCCAACAATTGCCCCCAATTCCTAGAGTTAAGTGGCGGATACTTCGAAAATTGAATGCGCCGACTAACTCTTGGAATTCCCAACTCGTCATCATGTCCTCTTGAAACTCGTTCACCATCAACACTCCTTTTCATATCGTCTTTCCTGTTTCTTCCGCGCAGTTCTCCACCTTCCTCGCATCTCCCTCTTTCATGGCTTCTCAGACGTTTGTCCCTCAGGACATCCTAGAACCGAAGAGCTCCAAACAAGCGCGCCTTACAGAGGCTCATGTTGAAGCTATCCAATCGTCGGCCGGATTCCCTTCCAGTGCAACTATCCGTTTCCCAGCGGCCAATGAAAGATTGGACTGGTTCTGCCCCGGGTGGGTGAACTTTCTGTTCTATCCGTTCAAAATCGGAATGAAATTCCCATTCTCTCCCCTGACTCGAGGCTTCCTGGAATTCGTCAAGATTTCCCCTTCTCAGATCATGCCGCAAGTGTGGAGAATTTTAAGGGCCCTGGAAGTCTTGAGCGAAAAATACAGCATTCCCTTTGAATTTGAGGACCTCGGATTTACATATGAGCTTCGTACATCCGGCCCTGGCCGTTTTACCCTAGCACTGAAGGACAGGAAAGCAAGACTCATTCACAAAGTAGACAAGGCGAACGATAGAGGATGGATGAGCTGGTATTTCTTCGTTCTCAAGGATTCACTTGGGCACGAAGGAGTGTTTCTCGAAGATGACCTTCACAAAAGTAATCATCAAATTCATCTTTTCTATTTCTGCTTCACTTTTTTGCCTCTAGCTTCTGAATGTATCTACCGTTCATATACGTCATATGAACGACTAGCAAGTTATGATTGTTTATCATTCTGTTTGTTTTCCAGAAAAGAAGACTATTCCCCTTCCCCACGGGCCGACGGCCGAAGAGAGGACAGCCCGCATCCAGGCTATCCCTGTTGAAGAGCGTTGGTTTGTAAGCTTGGTCTCTGAATCTTCAGGTATGCCTCCCACTTTAACTCCTGATAGATCTGTCGGATTAAGGCGTTCTCGACGTAATATGAAGTCTTCGCGTAATCTGATTCAAGACTCGTCTGTAGTCTCAATTGAGGACTCAGGCCAGGAATCTGAAGGTTCTAAAGCTGGTGCTTGTGAGAATGCAGATGCTTATGTCCCTATGCAGGTTGTCTTTCCTACTGGTGAGAATTCTCAAACTGGGAAACGTCCTTCTCAGTCTGCTGGTAAGTACTTCACCTTTTTACCGGAGCCCTTTGTCCCGACATATCCTGATGGTCTGATTGATTTTTGGTTTTTCTTATGACAGCCACCTCTTCGTCCAACTCCAAGTTGCCTCCTACGGATTATGAACTCTTGACTATGGTTTCTAGGAAGAAAAGGGTGCCCTCTAAACTGCCCTCTCCTCTTCCTAAAATCCCTAAGCACTCCACCGTTGAAGCGACTCAGACTTCCACTTGGCCTCGCGTGATGTCTAAACCGGAACCTGGATCGGCCCCGCTGAAGTTGGTTGCATCCTTTTCCCCTGAGTTCTGCTGCTTAAAAGACACTTTGCTCATGAAGGACGAAATGACTCAAGTTCTGCTTCCAACGTCTTCTGCTGCTTTCCAAGGTTTATCTCCTGCTGGCTTAGCATTGGCCTCATCCGCTCTTGCTTTCCAGGTTTTGTACCTAACCCCCTTCAACTTGTTAACCAACAGAAGACTTCCTTTTAATATGCTAAACGAATCTGGCTTATCTGTTCAGAGCACACAGGCTAGTCTCGTTGCTGCAGAGAGATTGACTTTGATTGAGAAAACTATTGACGACCTGAAGATGAAAGAGAAAACTATGCAAAACTACGCTGATGCCAACGCCCGCCAAATTCTGGAACTGCAGGAGCAGAATTCAGCCTACTCTGCCCAGGTGTCGCTTCTGAAGGACCGCATACTAGCGCTTGAAGCATACGGGAGAAAGAAAAAACAAGAAGTCACTAATGCAGCTTGCTTTTATGCTTGGAAGACTCGGGGAGAACTTATGGAAGCGTTTCTAGCAGGTGAGACCTCTGGTTGGAAGGCTGAGCAAGATGTTGCCTCCTGGAGAGAGCTTCAAGAAGAGATGGATCCTCCAATTGCTGAGGACGGCTTTGATGTTGGTGAGTCTGATAACGAAGCTGACTCATAAATTTCTCCTTTATGTAAGGCATTTTGCAAACACCTTTAACTTGGTTTCCGGTATCCTGGTGGTTTATCCAGGACGGAAAGTACTTGTGACATCTCCACCCCAGGCACTTGGTGGTTTATCCAAGGCCTGGCCTCTATTTTGTTTTATGGTACCGCCATGGCTATTCTGTTATTTTTGCTCTGACTGTCATACACGCGGATATGTTTGTCGTTGTTTATGTATGTGAATATGTCTGTATGTGCAAAGTTATGTATGCACACATGTTTCGTCATATATGTATGTTTTGGCCAAGATCATGTATGTTAATAGGGCCGGCTGGGACTGTAATCCATGATCTTCTCATGGGCAGCCCAGCCCTTTCCCGATTGATGTCAATCGTCTTGTGTGCACTTGACCATGGCTGACATCCTGGCTGTCCCAATGATTTCCTGCCCTTCAGCCCTGATATAGTTCTGCGGTCACTAAAAAGAAAACTGTCAAAGCTGGCCGTTGGCTTGGGGCCAACGGCCCTCCGACGGTCAAGTTAGCAAAAAATTATGAATCCACTTTGTGTGACACAAAATTCTACAGGCAACATGTCCATTGTATGACCTCTATGATGGATCCCAAAAACGTACTGAACTCTAACTAAGTTAGGCATGAATGAAATAATGCAGAGGTTTACTGATGAATAAGGTTTTAACTGCCCTAATTTTATTCTAGGTCATTCACCTAGAACCATAAACGATAATGAGATTTTTAGGTTAAACTTATTACCCGGTCTAGGGTAAGACGGGAAGTTATATTTCAAAACCACATACATACCGGTGGTGACGCTTTGACAAACCTGTCGCACCTGATACGTACAACGCACCAGGGAGGCTTACCTGTCGCCTGCCAAGAGTCGACTCGGAAGATAAGGCATAACTTCAAAGTGACATGCAAACTTTCCATGACGTTATGACAGATCTGTCATGTCTGAAACGTCATGGTCCTTACCAGGATGTCTGACGTATCCAAGGGTCCTACCCAGCGCTTCTTTTGGCTTCCTGCACCTCAAAATGTTGTTAGGTCTGGCCGTTGGCTTTGAGCCAACGGCCCTCCGATGCTTAAGTTAGTGACTCGCTCTAATCGGATCATTAAATAGGATATAAAAATATTTAAAAATGGAAAAGTTTTAAGTGTACCGCATTCCAGCTTCTAGGAACCTGTTTACCGTCGATTGATTCTAAGCGATATGCCCCCTGTCTAATAATGTCGACGATCTTATACGGACCTTCCCAATTGGGGCTGAATTTCCCACTCGCTTCGTTTCCAAATGCTCTTCTCAAAACCCAATCTCCTTTCTTGAACACCTTTGCTCGAACGTTCTTGTTAAAACTCTTTGCCACCATTTGTTGATAGGACTGTAGACGGATCTTAGCTTTCTCTCTAATTTCGTCGATGGTGTCAAGATCATGTATTAACTCGACGTTGTTCCGCTCTTCAGTCATAAGCCCGTATCTTGAAGATGGCACTTCAATTTCTGCTGGTATGACCGCCTCACAGCCATACACCAAGGAGAAAGGAGTCTGTCCGGTCGCATTCTTTGGAGTCGTCCTGTCAGCCCACAATATCAGGGGTAACTCGTCAGCCCATCTGCCTTGTGCTTTCTCGAGTCTTTTTTTTAAATTGGACACAATGATTTTGTTGCTAGACTCGACTTGTCCATTGGATTGCGGGTATCTAGGGGTTGACGTTTCCAACCTGATGTTGTACCTTTCGCAGAAGCGTCGGGTTTTTGCACTTATGAACTGGGATCCATTATCACACACGATCTCCGATGGGATGCCAAACCTGCAAAGTATGTTACGTTTGATAAAAGATATTACCTGCTCATCACGTACCTGACGGAATGGCTCAGCTTCTACCCATTTTGAGAAATAGTCCGTCATTGCCAACATGTAAACTTTCTGTCCTGGAGCTTCGGGCAACTTTCCCACGATGTCCATTCCCCATTTCATAAAAGGCCAGGGTGAGAGGATTGGATGAAGCGACTCTGATGGCTGATGACGGATCGGACCGTGTTTTTGACAAGCCTGACAGCTTTGAGTGAAGGTGATTGCGTCATGCCGCATGGTTGGCCAGTAGTATCCAAATCGGAGAGCCTTGTTAGACAGACTCCTCCCCGCAGCATGGTTTCCGCATTCGCCTTCGTGAAGATCTTTGAGCACCCTCATGGCTTCTTGAGGTGCTAAACATCTTTGGTATGGACCTGCTTTAGATCTTTTAAACAGTACATCATCGATTAATAAGAATTTGGTTACCTTGGAGAGGAATGCCTTAGCTTCCTTTTTGTCTAATGGCAAGATGTTATGTCTCAGGTATGCTATGTATGGCTGCGTCCAGTCGTCTTGTGAGGACGAACTGATTGTGCTGACGGACTCCAACCTGTCAATTGCCGGACTTGTCAAGTGGATGAAAGGGATGTTACTATTGACCTCTGCCCCCAGACATGACCCAATTGCGGCCAAAGCGTCTGCCTGTGTGTTCTCTTCTCTTGGTACTTGTTCAAGTGTGATCTCGTCGAACCATGCCATCAATTTAATGACGACTTCCAGGTAGGACGTCATCTTGGGATCCTTTGCTGCATAAACACCATTAGCTTGGTTAACTATTAACAAGGAATCACATTTTACCTGGAGTAGCTTGATGCCCAAATCCTTTGCCAAAGTTAGGCCTACGATCAGCGCCTCATACTCCGCTTCATTATTTGTGGCGTTAAAATCACAATGAACGGCTTGGAGCATAGTGTCCCCCTGTGGCGACTTTAGCACTACTCCCAGGCCCGCTCCGTTTAAGTTCGACGCCCCGTCTGTGTGCAATGTCCACTTCTGTTGAGGCAGACCGTCTGTGATGATGCATGCTTCTTTTTCGGCTTCGGTTTGGAGCTTAGGGCTAAAGTCCGCCACAAAATCAGCAAGCGTCTGGGACTTCAAGGCAGTTCGTGGCTCGTACCGAATGTCATAGGCTCCCAGCTGGATTGACCACTTGGCCATGCGACCTGACAATTCTGGTTTCCTCATGATTGACTTCATGGGATAGTTAGTCCGCACACAGATAGTATGTGATTCAAAATACGGACGTAATTTAACCGATGCAGTAATCAAAGCTAAAACTAGTTTTTCGAGTAAAGCGTACCTGGTCTCGGGTCCATTCAATGACTTACTTACATAGTACACCGGTGTCTGCATTCCGTCATCTTCCTTTGTCAATACGGCGCTGACAGCATGTTCTGAGACGGCCAAATACAGTTGAAGTTCGTCGCCCTCCTTTGGTTTGGTCAACAGCGGCGGGGTTGTCATATATTCCTTCAATTGCTGGAGTGCCTGCTCGTGTTGATCTGTCCACTCGAACTTCTTGTTCTTACGAAGTACGTCATAGAAAAGGCGACATCTGTCAGATGACTTGGAAATGAAGCGGTTCAGAGCAGCAACTCGGCCTGTCAACCTCTGCACATCTTTGACTGACTTTGGCGATTCTATGTCAATGATAGCTCGGACCTGCTCTGGACTTGCTTCTATTCCACGTTCGCTGATAATATAACCCAAGAATTCCCCTGAGGACACGCCGAAGGCGCATTTCGCCGGATTGAGCTTCAAGTTATATTCTGTCAACTTCTTAAATGATTCTGCCAGGTTGCCAACGTGGTCCTCAGCTTTCCTTGACTTGACGATCATATCATCTATGTATACTTCCATGGTTTTCCCAATTTGATCTTTGAACATCATGGTGACGAGCCTTTGAAACGTTGCACCTGCATTTTTTAGACCAAATGGCATAACAATATAGCAATACGTACCTGTTTCAGTAATGAAGGCCGTCTTTTCTTGGTCATCACAATGTAGCTGAATCTGGTGGTATCCGCTAAAGGCGTCCATGAACGAGAGCATCTCATGCCCGGCAGTCGCATCTGCCAATACGTCAATGTGTGGCATGGGGAATGAATCCTTTGGGCATGCTTTGTTCAAATCGGTGAAGTCCACGCACACACGCCACTTCGCCTTTTTTCCTTTTGCTGCCTTCTTTTTGACGACAACGACATTAGCTAGCCAATCTGGATATCTGACTTCTCTAGCTTTCCCGGTTTGGAGAAGAGCCTCGACCTCTTGGTTTATGATGTCGTTCCGCTCCCTTGCAAAACGTCTTCTTCGTTGTCTGACTGGTTTATATGACGGATTGACATTTAACTTGTGTGTGATGATCTTCGGGTCAATTCCCGTCATGTCTTTGTGACTCCAAGCGAATACATCTTTATGTTGTCTAAGAAACTGGACCAGTTCAGCTCTGAGGCTTGCTGGCAAATTTGTCCCGATGCGGATGACCCGTTCTGGATGCTCGTTGTCGATGACTACTTCTTCCGTCTTTTCGTCATCTTCCTCCAAAGCTGGGTCACCCTTTAGTTGCTATGCTGAAGTTGGAGGGTTTGCTGTAGGCTTCATGGCCGTCTGATAGCAAGACTTGGCTACCACCTGGTCTCCCCGAATGGACTCTATCCCCCAAGGCGTTGGGAATTTGACGACCTGGTGATACGTCGACGGAATGGCTCCCATTTGATGCAACCATGGCGTCCCCAAAATCATGTTGTAAGCTGGGAGATCCTTGAACCCTGAATACAAACATTTATATTTTGGATTCACTTCACATGAATTAAAACTGTTTAACTGGTGTGTCTGATATTTAATATCATTTGTTCTTTTACAAAATTTAAAACTAATTATCTATAAAGATAATCAAATATTACAAAACCTAGGATTTTTTATGTAATAGGTACCCTAAGTCTTAAACTATCTAATTTATTTTAGATCTTACTTCTTTTAAATCTCCAATAAAGTATTACACTATGTAAGACTATATATCAACTTTGAAAACTAAAAGTCAAGGGGGGCGAAAACATATATATCAAATTAAAGTATGAAAATTTTATGAAAATACTACATATATAATAAAAAAATTTGAAAGTCCAAGGGGGGCGGTCGCCCCCTTTAAATCCGTCCCTGCTTGTATGAGATCTACAAGTTGATGAGATTTATAATTTAGTTAAATTATATGGAAGTAGTATTCGCATCTCTATAGTTTATATTCATGATCTCACAAGTCTTCATCTTCAATTTACCATATCTCGTTCAAAAATCTAAGTGTCTCATTTTTCTCTGCAAAATTTAAATACAGTCTTCAAAAAATAAGTCACCGATGATTAACGACTATTTTGAACACTGGAGATAACACCTTATGCAAAAATACACTGAATTGTTCATACAATTCAGTGTTGCAGTACTTGAAACGTATTCAAATTTTAAGTCAATCTTCGGGTGAGATCATCGGATGAGTCGGTTGATTTAGACACACGAAGATCATCAGACTTGCAATGGTTTTCATATACAAGATACACAATTCTCGTTCACCACTCAAGTCCAAAATTATGATCAACCGAGTGTTTGTATATCTTCAGATACACAAAATTGTGTTTTTTTCTATTCATAATTTTGGACGATGTCGTATTCAAAATTTACACAATTTAAACATACAATTTCGAGTGAATGGAGACTTCGTTCACATAGGGAACCCTTGTGAACGAAGATCATTCTTTACACTAGAAATGAGATCACTGATTGACTTATTATTCACTTCAAGTCAAAAATTGTATCAAATTATTCATATTCTCCAGTTGGAGAATATACGACTTGTGTATTCATAAATGTTGAGATCATCCGAATTCTAGTCATCCGGAGACTTACAAGTCACGAAAATCAAATCATTTAATCTGTCGAATAACTGAGAATGATCTCATTTCGAGTTGCAAATTATTACAGTTCGAGTGTAGTGGGTTCCCTATGCAAAAATACACAATTCTCATTCACGACTCGGTAATTTTGACACTGATAGGCGAATAGGGAATCCATTGATTTAAAAACTCGAAAACAGGTCTCCAGTATCTTTCACGTTGCAATTACTACTTGATTTAGTTCACAGTGATTCATACTTCTATGTTGACTCAAACTTTTGGATGACTCGGTTGACTGTATTCCCCAAGTCAATACAGTGTTTTCAGACTGTTACATAGACATGGTCAAGCCATTCTTAAATGGAGTTTTCAAAAATGGGATGTCGTATGATACATACACTTGATAATATTTAAATTTCATATTATAGTCACGAAAATTTGAAGCTTACTCTGTTGATTTAGTAAGCCTGAAAACACTCATTCAGGCTTAATAAAAAGAATATACATTTAATCATCCATAAACATAGAATTGTCGTATTCAAAATTTAATATGACAACTCGAAATTGTAAATATTTCGAGTCACGAAGATTGACCTAAATTTGATCTGATCATATCTTGATTTAGTAAGCCTGAAAACACTGGAGGCTTGTATGTTTTTTTTCTATTCATAATTTAGACTTGAATCGTGAATGAGAATTGTGTATTTTTGCATAGGGAACCCATTGCAACATACATAATAGGGTATAATAATTTCTAAAACACAAAATTCATATATTGAAGACATTCACTAAAAATGAGTCCAAAACTGAATTGTGTACACAATTCTCGTTCACGACTCAAGTCCAATGTATGAATAGAAAACAACTCTCGTTCACGACTCAATTCCAAAATATGAATAGAAAAAACATACAAGTCTTCGGTGTTTTGAGGCTTACTAAATCAACCGAGTCACGAAGATTGACTTAAATTTTGAATACGACATCGGATGATCTCATTTCTAGAATTGTATGTTGGGGACGCCATGATTACAACATATATGCATATGAGTAAAATATCCGGCCCGTGGGCCCATTTGTCTTTCAAATCATTTAGGCGTAACAGCCTCATTAAATTCACCCTTCCCATGTCTTACCCTCGAGTGGAGTCACCCGCAGGCTGACTCACACGATATCAAAATATAATTACTGTGGGGGCCCTTCGGACTCCCATATCACGGACATGGTTTAAATCAATTCCTAGACCAAGGAAAATATCCTATCGGAAACTCATTCCCGATCAAGCACGTTTAATCATTTAAAATCATTACCTTGAGGTTCACCTACCTCGAGGACTAACCGTCCTTACAATCATAGTTTACATTCCCGGGGCTAACCCCGCCTTGAGGAGTACGCATACACCCTCATCCTACGTGTAATTTGCTGGAGGTTAACACACCTCAAGGACTACACGGGCCCTTGTTACCTATGTGCAATTTGATGGAGGATACCACACCTCAAGGACTGCACTTGCCCTTGTTACCTATGTGTAATTTGCTGGAGGTTAACACACCTCAAGGACTACACGGGCCCTTGTTACCTATATGCAATTTGATGGAGGTTAACACACCTCAAGGACTGCATTTGCCCTTGTTACCTATGTGTAATTTGCTGGAGGTTAACACACCTCAAGGACTACATGGGCCCTTGTTACCTATATGCAATTTGATGGAGGTTAACACACCTCAAGGACTGCATTTGCCCTTGTTACCTATGTGTAATTTGCTGGAGGTTAACACACCTCAAGGACTACACGGGCCCTTGTTACCTATATGCAATTTGATGGAGGTTAACACACCTCAAGGACTGCATTTGCCCTTGTTACCTATGTGTAATTTGCTGGAGGTTAACACACCTCAAGGACTACACGGGCCCTTGTTAACATTTGAGTATAAAGGACTCCTCCTGGTCCTACAGAGTTTTACCCAACCTTACTCGGTCCCGGGTATTCACCCGCCATGTATAATCTACCACGTACCTCGCCCGGTCGTGGTCTATAATTTCTTTGCTAACAACTAGTCCAAGTCTTAGCGTTTAAACCGTATTTGAAGCCTTAGCAACCAATGTGGACGGGTCCCACCCGAACGACCCACGTTAACCTGCTCAAAACTGCCTGTTTTGGGCCTAGTCCAATACCCGGTCGGGTATCCAATCTCACCCGGTCGGGTAGGTCGGGGCAGAAGCCCCTGGAACTGATTTTACTTGAGACCCGGTCGGGTCCATACCCTTACCCGGTCGGGTCTAGTAAGACAGTGGCTTCTGGAGCCATTTTAATCAATACCCGGTCGGGTATGTACCCATACCCGGTCGGGTATCACCTTTGCCTCGGCGGTCAACGCCCGTTTGACCGCTCAAACGGAGTCCGATTAACGCGAAATTTTATACGCATGTACTCCTTGACGTCCTTGATCCAAAAATACCAATTTGGATCCTTGGAGCATTGTACATAATAAGTTATCACATTTTTAATCATCAAACATACAAAACATGCCTTTCAACTATGTTTTATATACAACCATGGCATAAGCCAATACTTGATTAACTTTAGTCATTCCATAAAATATATACTTGATTACTTTAGGTAATCTCATGCCTCAATCAAAAGTTATAAAGCATATAGCCGTCTTCTCATAACTATTAATAAGTACTTCATACTTATTAATCATTTATATATTTCATTCTAGTTTATTCTTCAAACTAGATTTAATTTAATGACACATATGATTATGTACTTAAATCCTTCAAGAATACCATCTTGAATTACCTTAACCAAATCATCCATGATTATCGTTCATCAAAATATTAATAATTCTTTTACTCATTAATCATGCCATTTTCACATAACTTATGCTCATTATAGCTAATCACGTTTAACACTTTTAAACATTTCTATACATATTCACATGCTAGATTACTCTAGTCATCTCATACATAGTCCATGTATGCATTTTTTTATACATTTGACAATAATATATTCATGATTAATCCACAAATAAATCTCTTATTCATTAATCATGTAATATTTCCATAATTCATAATTAATATGGATAATCACAAGTTCACATATCTTTTCATATATTCATGTACTACATTACTCTAGTTAGTTTCATGCATGGTCCAAATATACCTTCTTATATATTTGAGAAAAATATATTCATGATTAATTAATAAATTAATCTATTTTTTTCATTAGCCATACTCACCATGACTAATCATGCATTTTAATACATTTAATCATTTCTCAAATCATGGTTATGATTTTATTTAGGTAACCTCACGTTTCGAACCAAGAGTTACAAGACACGTAGTCGTCCACTCACCTTGAAATGACGCTAACGAGCTTTTATCCTCTTTGTTTGAACTCCGGCGACCTTTGAATTTTCCGGCAAAAACTCCCGTGGCTCCGGCGACTTTCCGGCCACTCCTAGATTCCTTGAGAAGTATAGAATACATTGGTAAAATTCCTAACAAGGTTTGACAACCAAAAGTGGTATAAACGTCAAAACCTTCCGAGAAGGTGTTTTCCGGTGAACCGGTCTTACTCCGGTCATAACTCCGTTCGTGGTTAAACTTAACCTTCCAAACCATCATTCTACACCTCTTAAAGTGTAGAACAAGATTAAGAGTCTATCATATGATTTATAAAATCATATGAGATTAAATGAAGGATGAAAAATATTAATGAGATGATTACCTTAATTAATCAAGGTTTTCTTCATTTTTCCGCTTTTTCTTCTTTCTTGAGCATTCAACTTGATTGAGCTTAACTCAACAATGGATGATGATGATTTGCAGAGGTTAGCCTCTCCTTCTTGAGTGAATTAATCGAAGTAGATGGGAGGGAAGAGGGTAGGAAGGCTCCACCTTGGTCTCATTAGCAAATAAATGTGGGAGTGAGGCCCACACTTATTTGATTCCAATTCTTTCACCTCATCTCACCTCCAAGCATAATGTGCAGCCCCCTTGGTCCATTTTGAGCTAAAAAAAACGTGGGTTGGCCCCCACTCATGTGGGAGGTCATCCCAATAAGTCCCGAAGTGTACAATTGGTCCCGAAAGTTGTATTTTCCGGACTGTTTTAATTAAATTTTATTTTATCGGGTCAAGTAAAATATATATCATTCTTCCAATTAATATTGGACTCTAAAATGAATATATATTACCCAACTTCAATTTAGTGGTCCCCGGAATTTATTTCGGGCTGTTATCTGATTAATTAGCTATACCGATAATGGGACCTTGTTTGATCGAAAGGCCAACTTTATGGCTCAACATTAATTTACACCATCATATAAATATTATCTAAACCAAGATGAATATAATATGTGGTTTCATATTTGGTGACACTTTAATAAAATGTTACACTTATTTTTAAGTGGTCCGAACTGTATGAACAAATAAAATCTTATCTGTTTATTCTCATACAAAATATCTCCAAGGTAGGGTCCTCCAAAAGTACCCACCTCTAACATGTCAAGTTGCTCATTATTACCCATCATCCCATGTTTTGGGTTCTTAAAATATTTATATTCCTTCTGTTATTAATTCGTAGCCTTCCCAATTATTATCAGTCCGATAATTAAAGACTCACAATTATTGAATAGTGACACCGGCTCGCTTGGCCGTCTAGTTGTCATTCTTTATATTACCGGGGTCCAGGAACCATCCATACTATCATAATAGTATCATTTTGATAAACATTAATATTTTATAAACTCGAAATATCATGAGTGGTCCCCACGTCTAAATTAATAACCCTTTATTAATTTAGGACAAAATTTTACTTTCTCATTTATCGAGACTACTCTTAGTCTTGATTTACCTTCTTTAACCAAGTACTTTACGAAAAAATTTTATCTGGGTAAAATTCGGGTCCGGTGTTACAAGTTCACCCCCCCTTACAGGAATTTCGTCCCCGAAATTGGCGTCTTAACCTTGAGAAGTACTTCCCCCTTCATTAATTGAAGCTGACCATCTTCAACATCATAATAATTTTTTTTTTTTTGAAATGAAGGGTTTAAATAAATACGGAGTATTACCTTGTGTCATTGTCATTCCCACAGATAGCTTCTGTCATTCATCGCCTTCACGAGCGAGTTCTCCCCTGATTGGTGGATGGTAAAACATTTGAAGCAATCCCTGTTGGGTTTGCAACCTCCGTGACTCCCCTGTGGGCCCCCAAGGCTCCTCCCCATACACGTTGAGGACAAAGAGCCTTTATGTGGCCCGTTTCCCCACAAAAGTAGCATCTAGATGGTTCTAGACATATCCCGTGGTGCCTCCGCCTACAATTCTCACATTTGGGCGCTCCCGTGCCCCGAGTGCTTGAGCTTTGACTTACCCAGTCCTTGCTCCCTTTTGAAAATGGAACTAACTTGCTAGAGTCCCCCTCGCTTTGAAAGTCATACTTCCTCTCTCGTCGCAGAGGATGATTGATCATCTGATCCCTTTCTTGTGCTTCCTTAGCACCCCTTGCTTGCCTTTCCTCCCAAAGCTCCTCCCCCTGGAGACCCTGGGCTACTACTTGACTAAAAGTCATGTTGAATTGATAGTTCGCCCTTTCGCGTACCTCCAAATTCAGTGCATTCCAAAAATGGTTCGCCATTCGATCCTCATTGGCGGCATACTCAGGCAAGAACCTTGCCAAATGTCGGAACCTTTGTTCCAATTGCTTCACCGTAAACTCATTGCCCTGTTTGAGATTTGTATATTCCCTCCTCTTTCGATTAACTTCGAAAGAGGTATAAAACTGTTCATAGAATGATTGCTCGAAGTTGTCCCACGTGACAACCCCGTCAAACTTACCCTTGATGCCTTCCCACCAAGTAGAAGCTAAACCTTCCAACAATCTAGTGGCTACCCTTAACTTCCGTTCAGGAACCACTTGCATGTCATCGGCTGCATCATTTAACCTTTTTATCCACTCGGCTGCTTCCGAGATATCCCCCGTCCCATCAAACGGTTTGCACCCCAAGGCCCTAGCCTCTTTGAGGTACTTTGAGATCTTAATGAATGGTCTTTCGGCATCAGAATCTCTGACTGTCCTAACCTGTGCTCTATGAGCACCCCGGCCCCTCCTGCGAGAGGTCTCGTCTCTGACATGTCCCACCTGGGATATCTGTCGTTGTCTTTCCCTTTCACGCTGGTACCATCGGTACATCTCACTAATCTGGTCAGGAGGAATACTATGTATATCTTCTCCACTATTTTCCTCAAAAGAAGTTTCATCTGACTCGCTATCAGGGTGATAAGTTGAGTCATCCTCCGAGTTCCACGACTCGAATTCTGTCACATTGTGATCAGCCATCGCGGCTCGTGTTCGTGGGCCTTGATTGCCCATACTTCGCCTCTTACGCGACATTGATATCCCCCGATTGGCTTGCCCGGCTATCCCCGGTGCGCGCCCTCTCGGATTTCCTCGAACCGCCCTATCACTACCACCCATTCCTGAAAGAATATGTTGGAATGAGTCTTTGGACTCGTTTGAATGTCAATTGACAGAAACGTACTCAAGACACAACTTGGCTCAAGTCACTGCCATACCAATTGTTAAGGGGCCCATCTTAACAACCAGAGACCTTGCAACTCGATAACCAAATGCTCTTAAAGTACAAAACTTATGCTCATGGTTTTTCATTGAAAACTGTTTTGATAGAAACTCGGTTGAGAGGTTGACTATATAGTTTAGAAATCGTTTGGCTCTGATACCACTTAATTGTCACGCCCCAGACCGCGTCTGTGCCACGTAGACAACCGTCGTACAACCCAATAAGAATAACCGCAGTTCATCCTTACCGAATTGCACAAGACGTCCGATAGATACATATGCCAAAACCGATTAGTAAACATACATAACAACATCAACATACAATCAAACACATAGCGGAATATAAGTGTTTTAATAAGAACCCACACAAGGGTAAAACAAGAGCTCGCAGGCTCCATTAATTTATAAGTCAAAATAGTTCCATGAGCATTATTGAATTATTTAAAAATGGAACGAGAGGAAGCACGAACCACGTCTTCTCTCCATCGATCTCCCGAGCAACGGGTGCAGGAAGTAAGCTCTAGCTTCAACCTGAAAGGGTGGTTCCCCCGAGGGATCAGTACTACAGAAAAGTACTGGTGAGGGCAAACTGTATGTAATGTAACTAACGTTTCTCACGTGAGACCCTCAAAATAGGGTGATAGTATAATTATGGGCATAACTCTTAGCTACCCCTTTTCAAAACAAAATGTATACATATATGCATATGAGTAAAATATCCGGCCCATGGGCCCATTTGTCTTTCAAATCATTTAGGCGTAACAGCCTCATTAAATTCACCCTTCCTGTCACGCCCCGGACCTACCGGACACGTCAACAACCCGCCGTACAGTACGAATAGTCAACCGCAGTCCAACTCATCCATACTATACTAGGCGTCTTGAATATCATTCACAATAGTACATCCATAAACAACCATAATGTAAAATAATCATTTAAATCAGCGGAAACGTTTAATACAAGTGTTTATGCCACACTTCGGCAACATGGGCATACAAGCCCCAAATAATTAATCAAAATAATATCCATGAGCATTAATTTAATGTTTTAAAAATAGAACGGAGGAAGCACGAACCACGTCTTCTCTCCCTGAGCTCCCCGAAGCAACGGGCGATGGTAGCAAGCTTTACTCCCTACCTGAAACTGTGAGGTGGCCTCCCCCGTGAAGGGGAGGTCAGTACTTGGAAGCATTTGACAAGTACAATGACAACTATACCAAGTATAATCAATGTTTCAATTTCTAAGACCCTCAAAATAGGGTGATATCATAGTATAAATAATAATTTATATTTCCCCCTTATTATCTCTATAATAAGTAAATTTATTTATTTGTCGGCACACGGCCCCTTTCGTATATTTCATTATACCCGTCGTTAGCACGACACCGCCCGTAGGTCTTATCATCCTTTACGAGACTTGTCACCGCTCTCCGAGGCCTCACCGGGTCCCCGGGCCGGAGTCCAACATCCCGCCCCTGAACTCATACCCATCGTCCCGTAGGAAGGTAAGGTCCATTCGGGGTCCTATCTTATGTGTTACCGCTGTCGGGAGCCTCGTAAGGTCTCCGGTTCGGATTCCACCCTAACCCGTGATCACGATGTAAGTCCATGCTATCCAACCCCGCTCTCTAGAGTCGGGAAGGGCCATGGTCCTTACTAATTACCAATACTCTATCGGCTAATCCTTAAAGACTACCGAATACACCCGTAGGCCAATCCTATACCTAGGATCAATTTATTATTCACTTTATCTTGGGTATCCCTTAAGGCCTACCCCTAGCATCACTTATCCACCTTAGTATCTCTTAAGACTACTTAAGGCTCAACAATTTACAATCCAAACCTTGGATCAATTCTAACATATTTCATTCCAAAACCCCCGACTAGTATCATTATACTAGTCGGATAAATTCCAACAAAATCTCATTTCAGTTCATAGTCATATAGACAATTCTCAAACTAATTTTCCATTGAAAATATAGTTCATATCAATATACAAAATATAATCTTTAATCACTCATATATCCTTATATGAAGTTAAAATTATATTTCAACATAATATTCATAGTTAATCCCTTCATCAAGTCAATATACTCATATTACATAGTCATACACAATTTATCCTTAAATTTGTATATTATGCTCCTTTATTCATTGACAACAATATTTTCATTTAGGCATTATTAATCATTAATAATCCATGAAAATAACATTTAATTACTTTAGGTAATCTTACGAAATTAACCCAAAGATTATAAACAACATAGTCAGCCATCCTCACCTTATGAAGTGCTGGATTAGTTGCCTTTGATAAGCCCTTCGATCGATCCCCGTTCTAAACCGATCAAAAGCAAAATTCCTGGACAGTAGCCCAAAAGCCGGGCGGCTTTCACCCAAAGCCGGGCGGCTTTCGTAGTCTGCAACTACGAACAGCTTCTTCTCCTTGGCGGTTTCCGGTGGTTTCAACTCCTATCGATTCCACGACTCTTCTAAGTTAAATACCACCACTTTATAACAATATTATACACTTTTAAACGTGTAGAACTTCATGTTTAATTCATCGTATGATTTCCTAAAAATCATACACTATAAAACTAGTTAAACCATAGTTTTGGAGTTCTTACCTTGAACTCAACTACTTCTTGTGGATTTTCCCAGCTCCTTCTCCCTTGAATGAGACTTGGAGGACTTTGGGTTTTCTTGAGATCTCTTCCCTTGTTCTGGCCGAGTGAAATGAGGTGGTAGGGGGGAGTCCTTCTCAATCACACATGATAATGTGTAAGATAGGACATGGGGGGTGTGGGTTTGTCTCAATCCATCCCCTCTTCCTCTAGTCCGCACCACACACCTTCATGTCTTCTCCAGCTCCCATTTTGTCAATTAGAGTACACAAAAACGTGGGGTGGCCCCCACTCATGTGGGAGGTCATCCCATTTCGCCCCGGTGTGTACAACCGGCCCCGAAAGTTGTATTTCTCGGACTGTTTTAACTATATTTTATTTTATCGGGCCAAATAAAATATACCACGCGTTCCTAATAATTATGGGCCTTTAGAATAGATGTATATTCCCCAACATTTATTTAGTAGTCTCCGAAATTCATTTCGGGCTATCATTCTATAAATTACCAATACCGGTAATTGGGCCTCGTTTGACCAACAGGTCAACTCCATGCCCTTTCCATGGCCCATCTAAATATTTGGGAGTCCATTTCCATTATTAGGGACCCGATAAATAATTTAATTAATCACGCATTAATTAAATATACCACTCCGTTACACGATTTTATTCGCTAGGAACTTCAATTACATATCAAATTTTGAATTCAAGCCCATCCGGGTGCGGTGTCACAAGTTCACCCCCCCTTAACGGGAATTTCGTCCCCGAAATTCACAAATGCTTATTCAAAAAGAAATGCGTATTGTTTCTTCATTAAAGCCTCCGTTTCCCAAGTTTCTTCTTCAACTCGGTCACTTTTCCAAAGGATTTTCACCATTGGAACTTTCTTGCTTCTCAGTTTCTTTACTTGCCTATCAAGTATCCTCACCGGCCGTACGGCATAGTTTAAGTCTTCACGTATTTCCACGGGTGGTTTCTCTAACACGTGAGACGGATCCGGCACATATTTCTTGAGCATGGACACGTGAAACACGTTATGTATCTTCTCCAATTCTGGAGTCAGCTGCAACCGGTATGCTACGACCCCAATTCTCTCAAGAATCACAAATGGCCCTATATATCGTGGGTTAAGTTTCCCTCGGCTCTGAAATCGGATGATTCCCTTCCAGGGTGAAACTTTCAAGAATACTTCATCTCCCACCTTAAACTCTAAGGCTCTCCGGCGTTTATCGGCATAGCTCTTCTGTCTATCCTGGGCCGCCTTAAGCCTATCACGAATCATCTTCACCTTTGACTTGGTGATCTCCACCAATTCTGTGCTCTCAAGCTTGGCCATGCCAACCTCGTCCCAACACAACGGTGTACGACATCGCCTCCCATACAATGCCTCGTATGGAGGCATGCCAATACTTGCCTGATAACTGTTGTTATAGGCAAACTCTACCAGTGCTAAATGGTTGTCCCAACTCCCTTGGAACTCCAATGCACAAGCTCTCAACATGTCCTCCAAAATCTGTATAACTCTCTCGGATTGTCCATCCGTCTGTGGATGAAAAGCAGTGCTGAATTTCAATTTCGTTCCCATAGACTCTTGGAACTTTGGCCAGAATCGTGATGTGAATCGTGGATCCCTGTCGGATACAATGGTAATAGGAACCCCATGTAGCCTCACGATCTCATCCACATACAATTTGGCTAACCTCTCAAGTGCATAGGTAGTGTTGATAGGTAGAAAATGTGCACTCTTCGTGAGTCTATCAACCACAACCCATACAGCATCATAATTCCTCACGGTCCGTGGCAGTCCTACCACAAAATCCATGGTCACGTGCTCCCATTTCCACTCTGGAATGGAAAGTGGCTGCAATAACCCAGCTGGATGCTGATGTTCTGCCTTGACTTGCTGACAAGTAAGGCATCGACTGATGTACTCGGCTATTTCCCTCTTCATACCAGACCACCAGTAACTTTCTTTCAAGTCACGATACATCTTCGTGCCCCCTGGGTGCATGGCATAAGCCGATGAATGAGCCTCCTCTAAGATGGACTTTCGGAGCTCCCCATCTGCCGGCACACACACTCGGTCACGAAATAATAAGAGACCGTCATCTCTTTCCCTGAAGTCCTCCACTGGTCCCGCTTGCATGCGTTCTCGGATCCTTATGATTTCCTCGTCAGTTTCCTGACCCTTCTTGATCTCATCAAGCAAAGTAGGTCTCACCTCAAATCGTGCCAATAAAGCTCCATTACTGGATACCTCCAGTTGGGCTCTTAAAGCCCTCAAGTTAGCTATCAATGCCCCAGATGAGCTTTTCCGGCTCAAGGCATCTGCCACCACATTGGCCTTGCCTGGATGGTACTCGATTACCAGGTGGTAGTCTTTTATCAACTCCATCCACCGTCTCTGCCTCATGTTTAACTCTTTCTGAGTAAACACGTACTTCAAGCTCTTGTGGTCAGTGTATATGTGGCATGTCTCCCCGTAGAGATAATGTCTCCATATCTTAAGTGCAAACACCACTGCCCCGAGCTCCAAATCATGAGTAGGATAATTTACCTCATGTTTCTTCAATTGTCGTGAAGCATAGGCAATTACCCTCCCCATTTGCATCAACACACATCCAAACCCTTGGATGCTAGCATCGCTATAGACATCGTATCCCATACCCTGTTTAGGTAAAGCAAGTACCGGTGCCTCGGTCAATCTCTTCTTCAGTTCAATGAATCCTTTCTCACATTTGTCATCCCATACAAACTTAGCCCCTTTCCGAGTGAGCTTTGTCAATGGCGATGCCAAAACGGAGAACTTCTCCACGAACTTCCTGTAGTAACCCGCCAATCCAAGGAAACTACGAATTTCCTTGACATTCTTTGGCCTCTCCCATTCGGTGATGGCTTCTATCTTCTTGTTATCCACCGAAATTCCCGATCCTGAAACCACATGCCCGAGAAAGCCAATCTCCTTAAGCCAAAATTCACATTTAGAAAACTTGGCATAGAGTTGCTTCTCCCGTAGTGTCTCGAGAACGAGTATCAAGTGCTCCTCATGCTCTTCCTCACTCTTTGAGTAGATCAAGATGTCATCAATGAACACAATCACGAATCGATCCAAGTATTTATGGAATACTCGGTTCATCAAGTCCATGAATGCCGCTGGGGCGTTTGTTAACCCAAACGACATAACAAGGAACTCAAAATGTCCATACCTAGTGCGGAAGGCACTCTTCGGTATGTCATCCTCTTTGATCTTCAATTGATGGTACCCCGACCTCAAGTCGATCTTCGAGAACACAGTTGCTCCTCGTAGTTGGTCAAACAAGTCATCAATCCTAGGCAAAGGATACCTATTCTTGATTGTGACCTTGTTCAGTTGACGATAGTCAATGCACATTCGAAGTGTCCCATCTTTCTTTTTCACGAAAAGAACCGGTGCTCCCCACGGGGAGTGGCTTGGTCTAATGAAACCGTTATCCAAAAGCTCTTGCAATTGGGTTTTCAACTCGTTAAGTTCTGCGGGTGCCATTCG